TGCTCTTATCTTCACTGCAGACTTAGCCCAAGCTCTCACCTAGGTGCTGTTCTGTCTCTTCTTTTCACTCAGTCACACAAATGGCTCACTCACGCTCCATGGTACCTGCAACCAGGGCGAGCTGGCCTGTCTTGGAGAATGGATTAGAGCCTGTATTCCACTTTCACTGAAGCTGATTACCTGCCCTCTTTGTCAGTGAAATCACTCAAGTGCCAGTAGTCCTCCAATGCTTTCTCACAATTCACTGGGACATAATAGAGCAACTTAGCTTGCTGCAGCCCAGCGCTCCCCTCCCAGCGAAGCACAGTGCTTGAGGGGAGGCAGAACACTTGGCATTTTGCATTGGGGTGCTCACACTGGGTGCTGAAAGCAAGTTGCACAGGAGAAATACCCTGAGTTGCTATCACCACTGGCAGGGAGAGTTGGTGAGTTGATTATTGGCTATTGAATCTATCCAAAGGTGCCTTTTATTCCCCCTCTTCTGCTAAATTACTTCGACATAGCAAATGGCAAATGCCAAGGCTATATAACCTCCACCCAGTTCAGTTTCCCTCTCTGTAAAATGGACCCATCACCTCCATCCCAGAAGTGTTGCTGGCTGCATTTAGCGTCTATAAAGTTCTTGGAGACGGATGCTGCTCTAGGAATACAAAGTGGTAGTTTAGTATCGTGCCTCCATATCAAAGCCTGCTGGAATCCAAAGGCAGTTGATGTAACATTAGTAAATCACTGGGAGCTTTATGTTGAAAATTCAAACGAAAGTATAAAAATAAACTTTTTATTTCATTGGGATTTGCAGTTAAATAAAAGTAAACCTATACAGCTACTAATCTTTGATACCATATTGCCGGCGTGCTTTGTTGATATGCCATCACCTTGCAGAAAAGGCGCACTGTGTGTTTTCTAGACATTTATGGTCAAAGAATAAATTTTCAGAGACTGTAAATGAAAAGATATCTGAACATGATGATCAAATAATATCTGACACTGCTTGTTTAAGGAAATATACATATATCTCGCTGCTGGAGTGTTTATGACTCTAATAAATCTAGTTATTTTGCCTAGTGGGGAAATTCCTAGTGGCTCCTCCAAATACCAAAGTTGTTTGTGATTGCTCTGTTTTCTGCAGACGGGAGCAAATGATTTTATTAGTTAAACTGTGCGGTGCAATACCAAACCATCACATAGCTAACTGTATAAGTTATAAATTGCGCTGTGTACCTACAGTATTCTGTGTTGTGCTGGCAATGGCTGACGGCTCCACATTAACAGTGCAAAGTTGTATTCCAGTATCTAAACACATTTACTGGTTTAGTCCATCAGAATGCAAGGGTGCCGTGGAGTTGCTGGTCCACAACTATAGTGGTTTTCATATGTCATAATTTTTCCAGGACCTGCTAGGTTTGGGGTGTCACATTCCCCAAACTATGCCATTTTTCAGGAACTGTATGAGAATCTGGGCGGAGGTTTGTATAGTCTGTCCTTGGTGATCCTCAGCCCCTGCACTGTAAATGAGATAACCAGTTGTTCCTGGAGAGTCCTACATCTCTGCATATCAGTTGTGAGATCCTTTTCTATTACAGCTTGGTTTGAAATCCAGTGCAACGTAAAACACACTGGAGCAAGAGTCTTGCTGGCCCGAAAGAAGGCAGAGGTGAGGATAAGTGAGACCGCTTCCCCTCCTTGAGCAGCTACTCTGCTTTTTGTTCCCTGTCCTGTGCCCCTATCCAATCTGCTACTCTGTTTTCTGCTCCCTTCCCTATCTGCCTTCTCGTTGCCCTTCCCCATCCTGGTCTGCCATGTGCAGATGCTTCCTATGTGTGGCCACACAGGTTAGCCATCCCTGTTGTAGACTGAATCAGAGATGCATAAACTTTCATGAACAAGGGCAGATGTAGCATGCTCTTGCTCATGAAAACTTATGCATCACTGATTCAGTTAGTCTATAAGGTGCAACTCTACCCTGCCTTCTGCCTGACCTCAGACTAACACAGCCACCTGCCTCTCTCTATTCTTGGTTTTTGTTCAGACACCTACAAGTCAGGAGATTTGGAGTTAAGGTAATTCGGCCAGTGCTGTTCCTTTCACGTTGCACATAGATTTACCGATGGAAAGGGTTTGCTCTTTCCTGTGCCAGTAGTAATGCTGTGCACTATTGGTGAGTGACATTTGGAGGAACAACTTTGTTTGAAATTTTTCTGTCTTTTGAGCACTGCTTCTGGCAGCTGTTGATGTTGTCCCAAACTACCATGCCACGCAAATAATAATGACCTCAGTTTTGCTGCTTCTTTTACTTTAGAACATAGCAGCACTGGATAGGACTTCTGTCGAGGAGGATATACCTTAGGACCTCAGCAATTTGGCAGTACCCCTTTAAATATTTGGATACAAAAAAATGGTGAGAAAATTGGCTATGCGATGTTCACACCTTCCTAGATCAACTCTGCTGCCTCCAGCCAGATGCAGTCTGATGTCACCTAGATGAACCAGGGCAAACTATTATCATGGGATTAAACACTAAATACCTGCGAGGAGCATTCTCTTCTATCAGATAGTGCTCTGTTAGCAGAGTTCGTTCATTTTATTGCATATATAACTGTGGTGTCAAATAGACTGATTTGCAACAGCTGGTCTTTTAAATAATCTTTGCTATTTGCTGCTCTTGTAATCTGCCAAATCATTTAGCCTTCCTGATAGCAGAAATGCTGTAAAACTTAGATAAACTTGCAGAAGAAATTAGCTCCAAGGTGCTGCCGAAATGTAGGGGTGGCATGTTCACTATATAAATGTACTTACAGGCTTGGTTCTCCCCCCTCCCCCCCGCCTCCCCAGAACCTAATCTGTGATTGAATGTGGCTGCCGGAAAAATTGAAATTTTGTGATAGCACCACAGCCAGGGAGATAAGCGTTTGTACGGTAGGCTGGATTAATCTAGAAGGGAGTTTCAGGTGTGGCTCATGAAAACAGCTTGTGTTAAGAGGTTTTCTTTGGGCCACCTCTGCGTTGGTGTGTCCGGTCCAAAGCATCCCATCTGCAAAAAGTTCATCTCTGGACAGTTGTGGAACAAGGTCCTGAGTTGTGACCAGGTGCCTCCATTATAGGGAGTCCAACTTGAGACAACTGAAAGGGGTCCAGCTTGCAAAGGACAAATGCTCAGCACTTGTGTAAGACTTAGGCTTCTTTTATAACGGGTCCCAAGTCAGACCCCAAATTCACTTGTAATACCTGAAACTTTGACCAGGGTATCTACAAAGCGCCATGTTAATGAGAGCAGTCAGTCACTTAAATGATCAAGTTCAAATGAACAGAAAATCTCTCTCCCTCTCTCTTGTTGTATTTGTTGGGCTGTGTTGGAGCAGATTTGAAGAGGCGGGTCTAGAAAGGCTGAAACATGAGCAAGAAAGTCTCAAAATGGATTGAGAAAATGCAAGCTAATATATTAAGAGAAAAACCAACCTATGGAAACTGAACTGGAGTAAGAGCACTGAAGTGCAAAACCTCACTGACTTAGAAGTGAGAGTGGCCAGCAGATAGGAAGAAGCCATAAAAATGATCAAAGACAATGAAAAGATTAACATAATCCAGTACACCTACTGTTTAAAAGAACTGCAGCCATTGCCATCAAAGTCAGCGTTTCCCCGTTGTTACCACTGTTAATTCCTCGGCGTTCAGGTCGTACTTTGATATTGCAGACACTTTTGCAGGCTAACTGGGGAAAGGCTGGCCCTTGAAATGGCATCATATACCACATGCACTATCATAGGTTGGCCAAGAAAGAACTGAAATTAGACGGTGCGGTTTGTGGCTCAGGGTGTAGGAGACCCACATCCTACTGCTAATTTGCTTAGGCATCTTGGGCAACTCAAGCAACAAGTTCTGCAGCAGATTCTACAGCTGGAAAATATTTAGGATCCTGCTAATATCTTACCTTTATGAAGTGCTTTGAGGATTTACAGATGCAAGTGTACGTGTGTATTAACTATTGACTATACGTAGTTATCCGAGTGCTGGGATTAGCCGAGCAGTGACCAGCACTAACAACGTGGAACAAAGGGAGCCTTGGGCTGAAGCTGCTTGAGTTGAAATCTGTTTAGCTGGGGAGCAGTCTCCCAAGGGAAGTGGTAGAAGCTGTATTTCTTGAGACAATCAAAACCATACAGGAGCTACGAATAAAAAAAAAAAAAAAAAAAAAATACTGTAATGATCCATTCTGCACTGGTATTTATATTAAGGCTCATCCTGTGTGAGTGTTAATAGGAAAGCTCTGTCTGACCTGCCTAGAGTAACTGCCATGGCTCCGTATGTGTTGCTGCTCCGTATACGTTGTCACGCAGCTTCTCCCCATCTGTGCTCAAAGCTAAAAGGACAGCTTGAGTAATGGTTAGTATCTTTTGCCTTCTCTTTTGCTGCCTGAAGTGTTGATTTTGTATTACCTTACCTAGATTATATACCTCTGGTGCTTCAACTCTGCCTAGATTCCAGATACTGCAAAGAGATTTATAAGAAACATGGGTATTTTGTAACGTCAAGAATAAAGGTGCTTGCTGTTTTCAAATCCCTGGGAACAGAAATCAAGTGCAGAGCCTATTCAAACAAAGGCAATGCGTTTCTAAGTCATTTTAGCATTCCCTATGAGGGTCTGTCCTACTCTCAGTCTGAATATTGGACTGTCATGCCTTTGAGCTGTTCTCTCCTGAATTTCTGAACTGCGAATGAGACGCTATCCAACTCAAATAGAAAACCTGGTGAGAATGACAAGTGAAAAGCAGGTATTCTCAAACTACAATAAAGTGCCCACTGAAACCTTTCCTGCTGCTTCTTCATGAGGTCTGCATGGGAACCCATCCTAGGCATACAGGGCAAGGTCTCTTCTTCCCCCATCAGCACTGTCCCACGTATCTCACTTAAGTTGGAGCTTGAGAGTTAGGACCCTTCAGTCCAACGTGTATTTGATGCTGAAGTGCTTAACACGATTCCTTTTGCATGGTGTGTTTCCCCAGGTATGAAGACTCCCTGCTTGACCTGGTGGAAGCAGTGAGCCCGGTTTGCAATCCAGGACAGTGCTACCGAGAGTCTCCCAGATGCAACAAAGCACACGCACCTTGTCACGGGAGCCACCGAAAACCCACATGGTACCAAGGCCCCTGTGATGTCAGAAGTCGAGCGGACGATCTAGAGGAGAGCCAGCTCCTAGAAGAGATATTCTTCATTTGACAGGGCTCATTCCTCCGCAGCCACTTTGTAGATTTTTTTTAGGACCTTTTTACTCCTGTTTCTGCAGTGGGTTTGTTTATGCGACAAAGTATCATTTTTTTAAATTATATGATTGGCAAATAATTGTCTCCTCCCTCTAGGAATGAGCACGGTAGCTTCCTGTTTCATTTAAAAATGAATAATAATCATGTTGCAAGAACAACGGTGTTTGGTGAGTCCAGTCAGAAGGTGCTAGCAAGGGTTTTTATCCTCTTTTTTTTGGAAACCAAAACTTCAGTGTGCCAAGCAATTATTCTAAAATATAATTTAAAATAAAAGCCCACAACATTTTGGATTCGATTGAAGTCATAGTTTAGTCAGCCTCATATCAGGAGTATATTTCATTATCGATTTTTAGCTGTAAAGTGGTTTGCAAGAGCTGCATAACACAAGAACTGCTGCATTTCAATTAGATTATTTTCTAATTACAAAGCAACCTGTTTAAAAACCTAGCATATTACAAAGGTACAAGCACTTTAATACTTTTCTCGGTGATTCTGCCATCTAACATCGCCTTCAGCATTCTGGTATTTACCATGCTGAGATCTTAGGGGGGTTTCTCCCCAGCTCAGCTCTACGGTGTCTAATAACGCTAATAGATGTTGCAGGGTTAATGCACTATGCATCCTTTTGAAAAATGCTCCTACTTAAATCAGTGCTATTTAACAGAGCATATATGCAGGAAAACATAACCCTTATATAGCTAAATATAAGCAGCCATTGTAGTGGTTCAAACTTTATTTGATGTCCCCTTAAAAATGAGATATGTAGTAGTCATAGGGTAAGAAAAGTGTTCCGACATTTTCACCAACTTGCACTATTTTGATACCATATCCAGGCCTGTTGTAAATAAGACAAATCAGTAATTATTTCCACTAGCAGCTTGGAATGCACATTTCCCTGCCGGCTTTAATTATTCATGCTGTATCTATTTCAGTTTATTTAAATGCGCTCCCTTCTACTGCATGCACTTGGTTATTTAAAGAAATGTGCAGAATTGGTAAAAATGACTGCAGATTAGAGGATTAATGGTCATTTTCTGCACAACGCAGTGTTCATATTTTATTGTAACAGTAGCCACCGGCATGTGCTCCTAGAAATATAAGGCTAAAATACTTGTCTCGCACAGTAAAATTGCAGCGAGGGAAAGGTAGAATCGCATCAGCCCAGACAAGTTCTAGGCCATTGGTTCCCAGCTGGGTATGTGGCTCAGAACTGGTTCGTGACTAGTTCTCCAGTCATTCCTCTTCGTCTTAATGGTGATGCACATCTGTACTGATCCCCGATGCACCATGCTTTCCCACCTCCGAGTCGCTTGTGCATGGATGAACCCGCGAAGGTACCACGTTCTCAGATGGCCATGCACGACTCGGCGTGCTTCTCTGCTCAGAGAATGCACCATGCTGTGTTCAGAGCATGCATCTGCTGGGGGCAAGAAAGGGGTGGAAGCTACATGTCGGCTGAAAGAAAAAGCCATTTCTGGGATTTAGGGGGCAGGCAGGAACCCTGAACTGTCTCCGACAGAGGAGGGCTGGCAGCTGGACAGCAGCACCATGGGGTATGTGTGTTTTTGGGACAGCTTGTAGCAGCAGGACTTTGATAGCGATGATATGAAAAGGGAGAAGAGAGGGAAATGGCATACCCTGAATTATTCTGGGCTGTTTATCTGGTCCAGTGTTACTCAGGTTGGATAATGTCATTTTCTTGCATCATGGCTGAATTTTAACAGCAGGTTGGAAGACTGAGGCCAGAAGAAGGAAGAGCAGCAGAAGCTGCCCCCTCTCCAAAATTAAGGTACACCGATTTCTTCCCACCCCTCTGTACAGAGATTCTGGGCCCTTCCCAGTATTCACCCTTGTTTGAAACAGCTGGCAGACAGGCTCCAGGTGGCAAAACCTGCTATGATCTCCCATGGCCGTGACATGCACCCGACTTCAGAGTGAAGAAACTCTCTCCTGCTCTTCATATTTCTGCTGTCAAAACACAGTTGAGCAAATTCTGTTTTGGGGCAAGAAAAAAAGGGAAGCGGGTGTTTGGGGAAAATGAGGAGGAAATAGGAAACAGGATGCAAGTTTGGGTTTGATTTTTTTTTGTGGTTTGTGTTAATTTTTTTTCAAGTTTGATTTTTTTTTTTTTTTTTTTTTTT